CAGAGCGGCCCAGCCTGGCCTAAGGCCACAATCTCCACCGCTGGGCTCTCGGCTGGTGCCCACCGCCTGCCTCCCCCCCCCCCAGAAGCACCAGCCAGCTCCGTGCTCCGGGTGAGGCCCCCCCTCGCCTCACAAGGCAGCCCAGCTACCAAAGGAGGAGCTCATCCACACAGGGGCACGTCTGAATTTGATTAGCAGAGGCTTCCATGGGTTCACCCAGCCGAGGGGGAGGGGGGAGGGGGGCTGCTTCTCTCTGGGCCACTAAAAAGCAAATGGCTTAGTTTGCTCTGTGGGGAGCAGAAGAAACAGGGCTGTGTTTGCATCACAATGGGACAGATTGTGCTTTGTTTGCCCACAAAGAAATTGGTTGTGCTTTGGTGAAGAGACTTGTCCATACTCACTAATTCAATTAAGGGAGGATTATGCGAGGCTGCCCCCTTCCCCGGGACCACTCGCCAGGGCTTTGAGAGCCACAGTGGGGTCCCTCTCCCCAAAGGAACCCCGGGTCTGGCTGGAGAGAAGCGTTCTAAGGTCAAGGATGTCCGTTGCATAGTTTTTCCAAGGACACATTTGATATGAGGGGCTTCATTACCCAAACTAGGTAACATCATCACACGTCTTTAAGAAAACGACGGAAGTTCAGAAAGCACCAAGGATTGCACAGTCCTCCTCCTCCTCCTCCTCCCCCCTGCAAACCCCACTCTCTTCTAGCACTGATCATGTTGCCTAGTTGGGTAATGAAACATCTGCAAAAAAACCCCTCCAAGCTCAGAGAGCAGCAAGGACCCCTCATTTCAGCCCCGAGCCATAAATATTATCCTTTATTGGTACATATTTAGTAGCATCCTCCTTCTGTCTCATGAACAATCAACCACGGGGGGGGGGGGGGCTCTGGAAGGGGGCTGTGCCCATCATGGGCCTCACTTGGAAAGAAGCTGCTGGGCACCCACAGCTGGCCTCTCCCCTCCCTTCTCTGCATCCCTCCCCTGTCTCTGCCAGCCATGGCTGAAGAGTGCCTGCTGGAGTGCCCCATTTGCTCACCAACCTGCAAAGTAGCCAGGGCAGCCTGGTTGCTCTGGGCAAAGCCAAGTGGGCCAGAAAGCCAGGGGAGGGGTCTGGAAAAGTCTGGGGAGAGATGGGAGGGGGGGGGGCTGGGAGAAATGTCTCCCTCTGTAGCTCCAGCACAGGCAGGAGGGCAAATATTAGCAGGCACACCTTGCATGCAAAATTAATACCAAAATTAATCAACGGCCCGGGTGCGTAATAGGATTCTGCAGCCGTGGCAGGCCGTGCTGGGCGGCCGACTTATTTCATGCTGACGGAAACGCAGCCAGAGGACATGAAATAAGGCCCATAAAGATAATTACCAAGATACTTGGGAGCAAATTAAGTAATCAGAGGCTCTTCTAAATCATGTCTAGTTTTAAGAAGCGCTATCGTTCCTGATTACTGAGAGAGCAATCTGGAAGGACAGGACAAAAACAGACACCCCCCCCTTTCCTCAATGCCCCCAGGCTAAGGCAAAGACCCCCCCTCTTCCTCCACCGGCCATCTGTGTGCCCCCTGGCGCAGCTTCTCCTCTGTGGGTGGAACAAACAGCCAAGGGGGAAAACTGCCTTGGCAAGGAAATGCCCAGGGTGGGGATACCTGACCCTTGACTTGGGGGGGGGGGGGGGNGCAGGAGCAACTGCAGGTGGGGCGGGTGCCAGGCTGCAGAAGGGCACTGGGCCTGCACGGAGGAAGTAGGGGGGGGCTTGCTGGCCCTGAGACCCTGACCATTTCAGCCCCAAGGGCAGCCCCCTTCGGCCTCTCCATCCACATGGAGCCTTGCAGCCCAGACCAGCTCCCTAGGCCTTCCCCCCTTTCTCCCCCCCCCCCGGGAATATTTATCACTACTACTAATTTATTTGACTTACTCGCTGCTTTTCTGCTTAATAGCAGCCGAAGTGACACGCAGCGTGAGTTGTGTTTACTCATAAATAAAAGCAAGCCCCGATTCGCTAGGAAGGGGGCCAGCAGGCTCCCCCCTCTGCTTCCTGCCTTGCCAGGGACCCAGCGCAAAGGGGACCCAGCAGCCCTTCCTCGGGGTTCAATCCCGGACGGCCTGCGCTGCCAGGTGCTTTGAGCTACCTGGAAAACCTGCGGCTCTCTTGGCTGTCATGCGGGGGTAACTCAAGGGGGCTTACTCCCAGGGAAGTGGGGGGGTGTCCCTCCTCATTGTGTGAATCCCATCCAGGCGGCAGTTTTGAATCATCCCTTCCTCTCTCTGTGTGCCAGGAACAGAACAGAGCAGCCCAGCCTGGCCTAAGGCCACAATCTCCACCGCTGGGCTCTCGGCTGGTGCCCACCGCCTGCCTCCCCCCCCCCACAGAAGCACCAGCCAGCTCCGTGCTCCGGGTGAGGCCCCCCCTCGCCTCACAAGGCAGCCCAGCTATCAAAGGAGGAGCTCATCCACACAGGGGCACGTCTGAATTTGATTAGCCGAGGCTTGCATGGGTTCACCCAGCCGAGGGGGAGGGGGGAGGGGGGCTGCTTCTCTCTGAGCCACTAAAAAGCAAATGGCTTAGTTTGCTCTGTGGGGAGCAGAAGAAACAGGGCTGTGTTTGCATCACAATGGGACAGATTGTGCTTTGTTTGCCCACAAAGAAATTGGTTGTGCTTTGGTGAAGAGACTTGTCCATACTCACTAATTCAATTAAGGGAGGATTATGCGAGGCTGCCCCCTTCCCCGGGACCACTCGCCAGGGCTTTGAGAGCCACAGTGGGGTCCCTCTCCCCAAAGGAACCCCGGGTCTGGCTGGAGAGAAGCGTTCTAAGGTCAAGGATGTCCGTTGCATAGTTTTTCCAAGGACACATTTGATATGAGGGGTTTCATTACCCAAACTAGGTAACATCATCACACGTCTTTAAGAAAACGACGGAAGTTCAGAAAGCACCAAGGATTGCACAGTCCTCCTCCTCCTCCTCCTCCTCCCTGCAAACCCCACTCTCTTCTAGCACTGATCATGTTGCCTAGTTGGGTAATGAAACATCTGCAAAAAAAACCCTCCAAGCTCAAGAGAGCAGCAAGGACCCCTCATTTCAGCCCTGAGCTATAAATATTATCCTTTATTGGTACATATTTAGTAGCATCCTCCTTCTGTCTCATGAACAATCAACCACTGGGGGGGGGGGCTCTGGAAGGGGGCTGTGCCCATCATGGGCCTCACTTGGAAAGAAGCTGCTGGGCACCCACAGCTGGCCTGTCCCCTCCCTTGTCTGCATCCCTCCCCTGTCTCTGCCAGCCATGGCCCCTGGGCAGTGGCTGAAGAGTGCCTGCTGGAGTGCCCCATTTGCTCACCAACCTGCAAAGTAGCCAGGGCAGCCTGGTTGCTCTGGGCAAAGCCAAGTGGGCCAGAAAGCCAGGGGAGGGGTCTGGAAAAGTCTGGGGAGAGATGGGCGGGGGGGGGGGGGCTGGGAGAAATGTCTCCTTCTGTAGCTCCAGCACAGGCAGGAGGGCAAATATTAGCAGGCACACCTTGCATGCAAAATTAATACCAAAATTAATCAACGGCCCGGGTGCGTAATAGGATTCTGCAGCCGTGGCAGGCCGTGCTGGGCGGCCGACTTATTTCATGCTGACGGAAACGCAGCCAGAGGACATGAAATAAGGCCCATAAAGATAATTACCGAGATACTTGGGAGCAAATTAAGTAATCAGAGGCTCTTCTAAATCATGTCTAGTTTTAAGAAGCGCTATCGTTCCTGATTACTGAGAGAGCAATCTGGAAGGACAGGACAAAAACAGACACCCCCCCCTTTCCTCAATGCCCCCAGGCTAAGGCAAAGACCCCCCCCTCTTCCTCCACCGGCCATCTGTGTGCCCCCTGGCGCAGCTTCTCCTCTGTGGGTGGAACAAACAGCCAAGGGGGAAAACTGCCTTGGCAAGGAAATGCCCAGGGTGGGGCTACCTGACCCTTGACTCGGAGGGGGGGAGCCAAGCGAGGGGAGGGCTTGATTTCTCTCTCGCTAAGCAGTTGTAAAATCAACCCAGGCTGAGGGAGGCCCAAGCAAACTCAGCTTGTGCCCAGCTCAGTTAGAACGGAGGCTAAGTAAAATTGGGAGCCTGCAAGTTTAATGGGGACGATGATGACGGTGGTGATCCTTGTTCTGTGGCTTTGCAGGCACCCTGAGAGCTTCTGCCACGGAGACAAATTCCTTGTCTGTGTGATCACGCTTGGCCAAATAAAGTATTCGGTTCAGTTCAATTCAAACCCTCCTCTCCAGCAAACAAATGAAAACAGGCAGAAGGACTAAAGGTAAAGCCTCCCTTGTAAAAACCCCAGCCTAACTCTCCTGGGAAGGAGAACCTGGCACTTTTCCCGCAGGCGCCAGGTGGGAAGGAGACAGGCCAGCCTAATCTCCGGCTGCTTCTGATTCTGCGCCCCCTGCTCAGCCAGGGAAGGAAGGAAGAACAAGGGGGTTGAACCCCTGCAGCCACCAGAGCCCAGCCAGGTTGTGTCCTTGCAGACAGGAAGCGCTGGTATAATAAAGGAGAACAATCATAAAAAAAAAAAAATTCCTCCAGTTTAAAACACACAATAATCACTTTAGAATCTTAATGCGCCTTTGCAGCCAAAGAGGTCAACGCTGCCCGCCTAAACCGGGCTCATTAAATATACATTTAATCATAGCTTTGGATTTAGAGACAAAGAACGCCCGGAACAGGTGCTTTGCCAAGTGACCTTTGGGGACCTATTCTAAGGTAACTCATTTAGGGCTCCTGCAAAAGGCCCCCTCCGCTCAGCCGCCAAAAGCCCTGATGGGCTTGAGTGGGAATTAGAAGGGAGGGGAGGGCCCCCCATGGCACTCAGGCCAAGAGCCCCTTCCTCTGCCAGGGGTCACCACTAGAGACAAGGGGGGTGGGGGGTGGCCGCCTCTGCTGCCAGCAGCCGGAGCCTTTCCCAGGGGATCGGCCCCTCTGCCCGCCTGGCTGCAGCCACCCGCCCAGAGCAACTCACCCTTGCGTGGCTCCAGGGCCTTATTCGGACAACCCAGAGGCTGCCTCGGTGGGTTCTGGGTCCTCTGCAGGCAGGCCAACATGGCGGAAGAGAGGGCGAGACGACTCTGGTGGCATCACTCCAGAAGACCCTGCAAGGCATCCCAGAGAAGAGAAACGGGGTCAATCCACCAGCCTGAAAGGAGACCCCTCCACCAGCATCACAAACCATCAGGGAAGGAAGATCCGTGCAGGGTTCCAGCTTCAAAGGGTGCTGTGCACTCTGGAGAAGCAAAATTCTATGGACAATCAACACTTCCAAGCTTCTAGACCAGAGTTTCACAACCTTGTTTACTTTAACAGGGGTGGACTTCAACTCCCAGAATCCCCCAGGCCACCAAAGCAACGCCAGGCCCTTTGCAGCCCCCTTGCTGGGCTCCAGGCCAGGGGGCCGAGGTGGTGCCCAGAGGGACCCAGAACCTCCGCGGCCGCTGCTCCTGTTGAACATGCGCCTGGAGTCGCCGAGCTCCTGTTCCTGGTACTAATGAAGTATTCAGGCATAAAAGGCCTTTTCACTATCTCTCTTAAGATGCTAATTTCACAACAAGAGTTCGTTACTACGCAATTATCTCAATCTAGGTTCTACCCCCCCCATCTGTACCAGCCTTTCCCTGAAAAGAGGGGGGAGAGAAAAGAAAAGCAGAGTCTGAAACACAGGCACTTTTCATCATCACCAGCTATTTTATTTTCCGTGAAGCTACCTTGAAAGAAGCGATTTTTTACTCTGAAAGAGACTTTTATTCTGTCTCGCAGCCAATTTTCGCCTATTACCGTCTGGAAGAGAAAAGAGAGGCAAGCGAAACGGGCCTTGATTACGGAGCTGACGGAGCCCTCGTTAATGCCAGAGCCGGGTGTCCATTTCCTCTCTAGTAATTTCATTCCAGGGGATCGGTCCAAAGGGAGGGGCTGCAGGGGAGCAGGCCCAGGCCCCCGCCCAGATGGAGCCGGGCTCCTTCGGACTGTGCCCGCAGCCCCTCAACTTTGGGGTTGGCCCCAGAGACTCTGAGCAGGGAAGCAGCTGAGCCCCCCCCTTTGCAGATCTGGGGGTGGCTCCTGCCCCCCTCCTTACGAGCAGGGCAAGAGAGAGCCAGGCAGGGCATGGCCCGTGAGGTAGACTTGGAGGATCTGGGACTTTCTGGGTCTCTTTGTGCCCCGCTGCCTGCGAGGCTGGACGGACGGCGGTTCTTGCTGCAGTTGAGAGCACGCAGGGCTCTGCCCGTCTTAAGAAGGATTGGCCATCTGGGCCTCCAGCCTCGGCTTCCTGCCCCGGCTTCTCCTCCTGGCACTTGAGGTTAATCCTGCAGGCAGATCCACAGCCCCCTTCTGCCCCCCAAAGGCGCCGCTCGGGGCTTTGGACCGGGATTTGGGCCGCCAGGGAGGGACTCCTGCCCAGCCCAGATGGCAGAGCTTTGCGTGGCGTGGGAACAGCTCAGAACTGCAGAGAGTAAAAAATGCACTAAGACTCTTTTTTTCTTTGAAAGCGAAGCCGAATCCCGGCCCATTCGGTCTCTTTCTCCAAAGCCCCGAGCGGCAACCCGTTTTGAACCCGCTTGCAAATCTCCCCAGCTTATTGGCTAATCTGCTATGATGTCATGGAGGATCTCTAATGCAAAAGCTCAGCAAAAAAGTTTCAGCTTACTTAGGTCTCTCGGCATTTGAGTTAAATCCCAGCCATCCGTAGAGAGCCCCCCTTCTGTTCTCTCCAGCTAGAGAAGGATGCTCCCACTTGCTGAATCAGGCCCTGCCCTGGCTGTCTCGCCTCCTGGCTGCAACTGCCACGCACAGGACACAACATCTACCCACTGCAGGGCCTTTAAAAATAGCTCCCTCCTCAAAGTCACGCTAACGGTCCCTCCCGTTGGGATATAAGTACCCATTTCACAGCCTTTTCTCTAACGCCTGCTAATTTTGAAAGCCTGCCGTGAAAAACAGGGCTATTTATAAGCCCAAGGTCTCTGCAACATTAATAATCCTCCCCCCTCCCAAAATCACCTGTCCCTGCAGGCGAAGGACTGCTCTTTGGCGCCTTCCAGTTGCTGATAAAAGGGGCCTTGAGTCCCAATGAGAGACTGGGGGGGGGGTGTGGCACAAAGAATTTTAAAACCAGGCTTGCTCCAACTTCCAAGCCATCATTGCGGCAATCCTCTGACATGATGGCTCGTAGCTGTGTTGGGACTACAATTCCCATCACAGCTCCTCTGCAGCGCCCTCAGTGGCTATGCTGGAGGGGCACAGCTGGACATAATCCACCTGGGCTTTACTTGCTCTTTCGGAAGCGCTTCAAACAATCTTCCACTGATGTTGGGGACTTTGCTGTGAATTGTCTCACGTGGCCACGTGGCTTCTTCTCTATTTGTGCTGTGGTCGTGTGATCTGATTATACTGAGCACCAGCCATCTTTTGAGGTAAGGAATTAACTCTGAAAGCCTGCAATTGAGGGGGGGGGGGGCACAGGAAGACCAGCTTCAAATTCCCCCCCCCATCCATGCACATCATTTAGTGACATGGGAACTCCCCCATCCTACCTTGCAGGGCTGTTATGAAGGTCCAGGTGGTGTTGTGGAGAGAAGGAAGGGTGAAGGCACGACACACCTATTCAGAGATGGCTCGTGCCAGCCTGCCAGGGGTTTACTCTCACCCGCCTTAAGTCCGACTGCTCAACAGAGAGCCCTCTATTTGGTAAGCTGTAACATGGTCTGTGTTCAGGGGCATCACAGTCCTGGTGCAAAGGTGAGCCTAATCCAGCAAACTACAGACCAAGCTTTGAAACTATCGCATCTAACTTCCTTCTGGGTCCAAAGGATGCAAAATTAGACAAAGCCAGTTCCCCCTTCGCACCCAAGACACGGATGCACTCTGCCTATGCTCCGAAGCATGCCATTCCTCTCTCACACCCTCCTGTGCTTTGTCTCCTCTGTTCCTGTGAGCTGCTACTCAGGCAACTTGCAAATAATTTATGCTTAACCTTGAAAACCCCAAAGGGCTGCAACTCAATTAGCAAAGCTGACAGTTTGGGTGCTGGAATGAGTTAATCTGGAGAAGGGTCACCTTTCTGTAAATTATGGCAAATAAATAAAACCCCAAACAGGAAAGTTCACCAGCACCTTGCCAAAGGCATCTAATAAAGCAGGCAGGCTGCTTGGGGTGGGGCGGTGTGACCTCTTTTCCCTGCTCGCAAATGTCTCCGTGAAACCCAGCTAATACATTGGGGGGGGGAGAGCCCTGACTGGCTGCCCACCCACCCCCATCACGAGCAAGCCCGGAGCCTGCTGGGGAATCAGTGGAGGAGAGAACGGCGGAGGAGCGCATCCGGTTAATAATTAAATGTTAATCTAAAAAGCAATTTTAGCTGCAGCCCATAAGATGTGGTTTAAGATTATATTAGCATGCAGGAGAGCCAAGGGTAATTTCCACTCACCCCTTGTGTGATCAGCCAGAGCCCAGCCAGCTTCATGCCACACAGGCTGCTGATTAAAGGGGGGGACCCGACAGGGAGGGAGGAACCAGCCAGGACATTTGGGGTGTGTGTGCCAAGTTTAAACGCTTGTTAAAAGCTTGCATGAACTTTGATTGCAGCCTAAGACACTGAGGCTCCTCTGTGCCAGCCCCCCAGTCTTTGCACCCCCGGTCACCCCCAAAGGCATGCTCCCTCTCAGCTCCTCCTCCTCCTCCTCCTTGGCAGCGGGAGGGAGGGCTCCCCGACAGACCCAGAGGCCAAGCAGGTGCTCCATCATCGATGTAGATCAGTGTTTCTCAACCTGGTCAAGTTTAAGATGCGTGGACTTTAGCAACCATGCTGGCTGGGGAATTCTGGGAGTGGAAGCCCACCCATCTTAAACTCGAGAAACTCAAATCTAGGCTCCATAAGTTCATTGTTCCCTCCCTGCTCCAGACTTCTCCCCTTCTTCCCCCAAAACCCCGTGCCAAAGTTGTGGCATTTGGGCACATTCTGCGACTTCTATTTCAGCCTCGTGGTGCTCATTTCCAATAAGGGCTCTTTAATTTTAGCTCCCCCCCACCCAAGAGTCCTCTCAACCTGAACACAGATTTTCACAGCACAGAGGAAGAAACATTTTCCTAATTACAGCTCATTTGCATTTCCTAAATGCTGACAAACTGGCTTCCGGACAATTTTCTGCCTGAAGGAGGGTCCGCAAATATTGAAAGTAAACAAATAAGAAAATTATCAGCTTCTACAGCCTGGGCTAATTTCTTATCTTGTAACAAACAAGGAATACCATAAAGTGCCCTGTTGTGCCATTATTGTGTTTGCTCTACAATTTATGGATTTTCTCCCCCTCTTTCTTGTTATAACAACAAGACTCTGAGACAAGCGTTTTGTTCTTGCTGGAGCTGAAATAAGGAGCCGTCAGCGGGAGGCCCGGGCGGAGAGCGAGGCCTGCAAAGACGACGGGGTCTCCATCCGACGGGGGTCCTTTAGCGCAAGAAGAAGAAGGGAGGCAGCACAGCAGACGCAGTTGCTTCAAATGAGAGATTAAGAAAAGATGTACAGAGACGGTTTGAGGGCAGAGAATTTCAATGAAAGCCAAGGCAAATAATCGGGGGGGTCACCCAGTACGCAGCATTCCCCAGGCCAGAAAAGGGTCTCCTGCCCTCCAGGGCAACATCAGATGCCAGTGAAGTCTGTTCCCAGCAGATCAAACTGGGGGCCAAGAAAATACGTGGCCCCTTTGGCACCGAAGGCAGCCTATGGCGCTGGGCAGACCAGGCTTGATCCCTCCAGCTGCCCCAAATGAGGGGCAAGACCTTGAGCATCAATCAAGTGCTGGAGATTCATGGGCAGAGGCATCGCTCCCCAGGCCCAGATCTGCCCAAGGAGGCAAAGGGTCAAAACAGCCAAAGAAAAACAGAAGTACGACTTTCTGTTCCTTTGGGGAGGGGGGTCATCCTGGGATAAGTACCCAGCCTCTTCTTTCAGTTGCTAGGATGGGCATCCTCGCTAAGGGTACCTGGGCATAATTTAAAAGACTCTGTGGTTGATTAGAACGGGCTGCCATTCCTTTTGTGGGTCAGAAACGGGTTG